TGACAAGGGTACACTGTGTTTGGTATCCCTGGGTTTGAAATATAATTCTGAATATTAATCTGCCAGTTGCTAGAATACCACCTGCACATACTGGAGGTTATTAATATTAGTATAAAACTGCAGTTAGGACTTGGTCATTAACTTGGGGGCCGCCTAGCAGCCGTCCCCAAACTGGATGATTGGTCAGTTGTTCTCAGGCGGCATCCCTTCAATATCATAGAAAAGAACTGATAGGCCTGGGGAAAGGGAGCTCTTGTTTAACATCAATCAAAAAACATCTAATGGACTTGAAAGCAAAGGCAATCTTTCTGCTCGGACAATTGGACTCTACTTAAACCAAGGACATTGCAAGTATTCTGCCTTCTTAACTCCTTTCTTTTATTTCTCTGTTGCTTTATTGTTCTCTTTATGTGTTTGTAACATCTTTTTTCTGTAAATATGTTAATTGCACCATTTTGACTTTTTTAGAAATTTTGAAAAGTGTTGAAACTGTCTCTAAAGCTTTTAATGCAAACTAAAGAATCCCTGTCTCTTGAAGAGTGCTACTGTATGTAATAATCCTTTGAATATCCCTGTCTATGGTGACAGTGTGTATTACAGACGCTTATGCTAATATCATAGTGTTATGGCTGGGATTTGTGAGTTTCCTCCTTCTCTGTAAACAGGCGGTGGTTGCAGTGTGAAGGGTTAAATGCATAATTAACCTAACCCAGTAACAATCGCTCTCAGGCTGATAGCACATATATTGTTGTCCCACGAGCTGGAAAATCTTTGTTCAGGGTGCAGCTGAGAGTGGCATTGTTACACAAGTGACAGCGCGGTGCAGGATTGGCTGGTCCTTCAGTCACAAATTGGTGAGAAGGGCAGGGGTTGGGCACCACGTTCCGTCACACCCCTGCCCTTCTCTAAGCATTTTCGAGCAGACCATACAGATAGTGGATTGTCGACAGAATCCATGTTATTAGCGAAGAACATGGAGAGTTGTTGAAGAAAGTCTGCAGCTATAGCAGGGTCCTTCAGAATAGCCTCATTAAGTTGCCAAGTCGGCCTTTTGGGTTGTGATTGTTGTACGGATAATTCCAAGAAAATAATTCCCAATCTCTGCCTTGGGAATGGTCAAATATTTTAGCAAGAAAATATTGATCCTGGAGTATGAGCCATGTGTAGAGTAATAGAAGCTAAAATCCTTCTCCCGTGGGTGAAATATCCTCCAGATATCAATCAGTTGGTAAGAGTGGAAGAGGTCTCTAAGACGGAGTCTGACCCTTCTGGACAAAGAAGAAGAGGCTGCAGAGGAATCATTGTGAGTGTCCAAAGTCAAGTTTATATCGCTTACCAGTAATAATGTTCCTTCCAGGAAAGAGTCAAGAGTACAAAGGAATGTTTCCAAAGCTGGGAGGAGATTACTATTGGGCAACTAAGGTTTCGCAAGGGTGAATGTACGTGTATAAAGCTTTCCTTTAAGTATAAGGTACCTGCCCTCCTGGTCTGCACGATTATCGAGGAATTGCCAGGGGAGAGAGTTTTTTTTTCACGTGCTGGCCACCTGGGTGTCTCTGCGCACCCCCTCCCCTTCTCTCGGCGTGCACAGCGTGGCCCCAAGGTTCCCGCGCTCTGCACTCGCCGGAGACAAAGGCCGCGCTCCCTGTGCATGGCCGGAGTGAGGGGGTGGCCTCGTTGCCATGGAAACCCAACGCCAGGCTGCCCGTTGCTGGGGCAACCAGGAAGCGTCCGGCCTTGGTGATAAAAAGACCGGAGCAGGGCCCGGCTTCCCTGTTGGTCCCCTGCTCTTGAGGGAAGCGCTGTGTGGAGTCTGAGCTAAGGCCAGATCCCACAGCCAGGACCCAGCTTCCCTGTTGGTCCCTTGCTCTGGATAGAAGTGCTGTGTGAGGTCTGAGCTGAGGCCAGACCCCACAGCCAAGACCCCGCTGAGTCCTAGTGAGCCTGCTGTTGTCCCTGAAAAGCTGAGTACCGTGAGGGTACCTGTCTGCTGATCGCTGGTTGTCCCTGGAAAGCTGAGTACCGTGAGGGTCCCTGTCTGCTGATCGCTGGTTGTCCCTGGAAAGCTGAGTACTGTGAGAGTCCCTGTCTGCTGATCGCTGGTTGTCCCTGGAAAGCTGACCGCCGTGAGGGTCCCTGTCTACTGGCTGCTGCTGCCCCTGAAATCCTGAGTGTTCCTGCACATGGTCCGCTGGTTGCCTCTGGAAACCACCTGCTGTGAGTTCCCCTACAAGACGCATGTGGCGGAGTGTGGAACTGTCCTTATTGTGTGCCCCTTGCCCGGACTGCCTTAATGTGTGCCCCATGCCAGGACTGCCTTAATGTGTGCCCATATCACCCTGCCTGGACTGCCCCATTGTACGCCCATATTTCCCTTGCCTGGACTGCCCCATTGTCTGCCCATATTTCCCTTGCCTGGACTGCCCCATTGAATACCCGGACTATTGCTTGCTTGAACGGCCCTCTATTGTGTACCTGGATCAATACTTGCCTGAACTGCCCCAATTGTGTGCCCGGATTGTTGTAGCTACCTGGACTGCCCCCCCTGAGTGCTCGGATTATTGCTACCTGAATCGCCCTACCGTGGGCTGGATTATCACTGTTTGGACTCCTCCCCCCTTTTTTGTGTACCCAGAAGCTACCCTTGTTACCCTGATTGAGTGTCTCTCCTATTTCAATAAAACTTTGTGTGTTTATCATCCTCCGTGTGCGTTCTGTCCCGACTACGCTTCCGTCACACCCCATTTATAGGTTAGGCCCAGTTCACTGAGCTGTTCAAGCAAGGGTTTAAGTGTCTTGTGCTTTAACAGAGTCTTCTTGGAAACCTCAGGCAGAAAATGGACAGCAGCACCATTAAATTCCAATACACCTACTTGCCAGACCCATTGCAAAACTTCTTCCTGCCTGTCGGGCCAGGGGGGCCAAGGGTCTGGTGTACCTTGTCAATACCAATCTCTGTGACCGGCGGGCAATCCAAACATCTGTTGAGAATGGTTATTACCTTAGAGTGGAGTTTCACTTGTGCTGTTGACTCTGAGATCCCTCTAAGCCGAATGTTTTGTTGCAGACTACGATAATCAAGTAGTAGTTAAAGCTGAATGATTTGCTCTGAGAGATCAGTCTGTAACTACTGCAGGGTCAGGATAGATTGGCACGTGGTGTCATATTCTGTGTCAGGAATGGACTGGCCAGCAATAGTGGGACTCACCTGCCTTATGAGCTGCAGTACCAGGGCTGGCCAGTGGGTGCTCCCAGCAATCAGAGACTCAACCTTGCAGCCAGTCAAACACCTGGAACTAATTATACTGGTGTATTTAAGGGACATTCAGACCTGCAGACTCTGCCTTGGTGTGTGTTTCTCCTGGGCCCTGTATCCTGTTCCTGCTCCCTGTTCCTGTTCCTGTCTGATTCTCTGCTGACCCTGCTCTGATCCCTGGCTTGTCTGACCATTCTCCTGCTCCCGATCCCTGGCTTGTCTGACCTTTCTCCTCTGCCTGACCCCTCTGTACCACGCTGCCCGCTACCTGCTGAACCTGGCTTGTGACCCCGACCATTCTCCGCTTGCTCCCCCTGTACCTACCTGCCCGATTGATATTGACCCAGCCTGCCTGACAACGCTTGCATTGTATGTACTGTTATCTGTGGGTGGTTGGTTTGGTTTGTTTTTGCACTGTGTTATGTTTTAGTATTGCACTGCGTTTATGTTTGTATGGTTAGTGTTAATAAATTACATTGTTTATAACATATCTGAAGTCTGCGTTTCCCTGCGTCAGTCACATACCTCTGGTCATACCCGGGAGCCCTGACATTACACCAAGGCCAATCCTGACCAGAAGTGGCTGCACAGGGAAGCCATCTTGGTTTGTTGATGGGAAGGATGGATCTTGATGTGGTTGAGTATTTATATCTGCTAGTGTTTGATCACAGAGAGTATGCTTATCAGACTCTGAAGGAGTATCCCAGGGATGAACTGCTAGAATGTATACGGCTCGCTCATGTTCTAGTAGATCAGGGCACAGAATTCTCTGAGGTGCAGCCATTGATTCAGATTTGTGCGGAGTTGGTTTCATCTGGTACCCGAATGCAGGGATGAATTTTTGCCCCCATTTAGTGCCGACCAGGTAGAGTCCCTGGTATGGTTATTAGAGGATGATGTGGATTGCTTCTTGGAGCATTATGCTGCATGTTCACCACAGGTACTAAGAGATTGTATAAACGCAGTGCAGTCTTTAGTCAGACAGGCTTTGTGTAAGCTGACTTTGTTCAACCCATACTGCAGACATGGTCAGATTTGTTGCACCCAGCCTCAGTCAGCTTACAAAAACCCAGTCCTGCTTCTAATCTATTTCCCTCAAAGCTCTATTCCTGCATTCCCAACAGCTCCTCCTGCCCTGCTATCTACCGCATGTCAGTACCCTGTTCCCACTCGCTGCACCTATCCTGCCTTTAACCCTGTAAAAAAGCCCTCTGTAGCAACTGTTCCCTCCTCTGTTCCATCCTCCAGCTCTTCTCTGTCTCCAGCTGCTCCATTCGTTTGCAGACCTGCGTTTACTTGCAGTGCTCCAGTAGTTAAAACCAGAAAAAAGCGAAAATTCTTTCCAAATAAATACCATCCTGCCAGTATCCAAACCGGTGAACCTGCCTTCCGTGGTTCAGCCTGAAGCCTCTACTCAGCCTGAATCCTCTACTCAGCCTGATGCCTGTACGCAGCCTGATGCCTCTCTTCAGCCTGATGCCTCTCTTCAGCCTGATGCCTCTACTCAGCCTGATGCCTCTACTCAGCCTGATGCCTCTATTCAGCCTGATGCCTCTACTCAGCCTGATGCCTCTACTCAGCCTGATGCCTCTACTACTCAGCCTGAAGCCTCTACTCAGCCTGAAGCCTCTACTCAGCCTGAAGCCTCTACTCAGCCTGAAGCCTCTACTCAGCCTGATGCCTGCATTCAGCCTGATGCCTCTACCCAGCATGATGAACTGATCCAGCCTGACGATCCTATTAGGCCAGTTGACTCGATGCCCGCTGTTGATCCAGATGATCCGGTACCTGATCCGGTGCCCGCTGTCGTGCCAATTGACTCAGAGCCCGCTGTCGTACCTGGTGATTCGGTGCCCACTGCCTTGCCAGATGACGCGGTGCCCGCTGGCGAGCCAAATGACCTGATGCCTGGTGACCCAGTGCCCGCTGTCATACCTGGTGACCCGATGCCCGCTGTCGAGCCAGACAATCCGGTACCTGATGACCTGGTGCCCGCTGTCATGCCAGTTGACTCAGAGCCCGCTGTCGTGCCTGGTGACTCGGTGCCCACTGCCTTGCCAGATGACGCGGTGCCTGCTGGCGAGCTAAATGACCTGATGCCTGGTGACCCAGTGCCCGCTGTCATACCTGGTGACCCGATGCCCGCTGTCGAGCCAGACAATCCGGTACCTGATGACCCGGTGCCCCTGCTGTCGTGCCAATTGAGTCAGAGCCCACTGTCGTGCCTGGTGATTCGGTGCCCGCAGTCTTGCCAGATGACTCGGTGCCCGCGCTGTTCCGCCAGTTGACTCGATGCCCGCTGTTCCGCCAGACGACTCGGTGCCCGCAGTCTTGCCAGACGACTCGGTGCCCGCAGTCTTGCCAGACGACTCGGTGCCCGCAGTCTTGCCAGACGACTCGAAGCCCGCTGTTCCGCCAGTTGACTCGGAGCCCGCTGTTCCGCCAGTTGACTCGGTGCCCGCAGTCTTGCCAGACGACTCGGTGCCCGCTGTTCCGCCAGACGACTCGGTGCCCGCAGTCTTGCCAGACGACTCGGTGCCCGCAGTATTGCCAGACGACTTGGTGCCCGCAGTCTTGCCAGACGACTCGGTGCCCGCAGTCTTGCCAGACGACTCGAAGCCCGCTGTTCCGCCAGTTGGCTCGGTGCTCGGTGCCCGCAGTCTTGCCAGTTGACTCGGTGCCCCGCAGTCTTGCCAGTTGACTCGGAGCCCACTGTTGTGCCTGGTGACTCGGTGCCCGCCGCTCCGCCTGGGGGCCCGAGACCTGTCGTTCCGCCTGGGGGTCCGGCGCCCGCCGCTCCGCCTGGAGGCCCGATGCCTGTCGCCCCGCCTGGGGGCCCGATGCCTGTCGCCCCGCCTGGGGGCCCGATGCCTGTCGCCCCTCCTGGGGGCCCGATGCATGTCGCCCCCCTCCTGGGGGGCCCGATGCCTGTCGCCCCGCCTGGGGGCCCGATGCCTGTCGCTCCGCCTGGGGGCCCGATGCCTGTCGCCCCTCCTGGGGGCCCGGCGCCGCCGCTCCGCTTGGGGGCCCGATGCCTGTCGCCCCGCCGGGGGCCCGGTGCCTGTCGCCCCCGCCTTGGGGCCCGATGCCTGTCGCCCCCCGCCTGGGGGCCCGGTGCCTGCTGCTCCGCCTGGTGGCCCGCTGCCTGCTGCCCCCGCCCGGTGGCCCGGTGCCTGCTGCTTCGCCTGGTAATCCGATGTGCCTCTGCCAGGAGTCCAGCCCGATGTGCCTCTGCCCGGAGTCCAGCCCGATGTGCCTCTGCCCGGAGCCCAGCCCGATGTGCCTCTGCCCGGAGTCCAGCCCGATGTGCCTCTGCCCGGAGTCCAGCCCGATGTGCCTCTGCCCGGTGTGCCGCTGCCCGGAGTGCCTCTGCCCGGAGTCCAGCCCGATGTGCCTCTGCCCGGAGTCCAGCCCGATGTTCCTCTGCCCGGAGTCCAGCCCGATGTGCCTCTGCCCGGAGTCCAGCCCGATGTGCCTCTGCCCGTTGTGCCTCTGCCCGGTGTGCCTCTGCCTGGAGTCCAGCCGATGTGCCGCTGCCCGGAGTCCTGCCCGGTGTGCCAGTCTTTGATATCCCGCCAGTTACCAGACCCGGGCGGTGGAACATTTTGCCCAGCTAGGACTGTTTGGAGCGTCCTGAGGCCGCTCCTTGAGTGGGGGTACTGTCAGGAATGGACTGGCCAGCAATAGTGGGACTCACCTGCCTTATGAGCTGCAGTACCAGGGCTGGCCAGCGGGTGCTCCCAGCAATCAGAGACTCAACCTTGCAGCCAGTCAAACACCTGGAACTAATTATACTGGTGTATTTAAGGGACATTCAGACCTGCAGACTCTGCCTTGGTGTGTGTTTCTCCTGGGCCCTGTATCCTGTTCCTGCTCCCTGTTCCTGTTCCTGTCTGATTCTCTGCTGACCCTGCTCTGATCCCTGGCTTGTCTGACCATTCTCCTGCTCCTGATCCCTGGCTTGTCTGACCTTTCTCCTCTGCCTGACCCTCTGTACCACGCTGCCCGCTACCTGCTGAACCTGGCTTGTGACCCCGACCATTCTCCGCTTGCTCCCCCTGTACCTACCTGCCCGATTGATATTGACCCGGCCTGCCTGACGACGCTTGCATTGTATGTACTGTTATCTGTGGGTGGTTGGTTTGGTTTGTTTGCACTGTGTTATGTTTTAGTATTGCACTGCGTTTATGTTTGTATGGTTAGTGTTAATAAATTACATTGTTTATAACATATCTGAAGTCTGCGTTTCCCTGCGTCAGTCACATACCTCTGGTCATACCCGGGAGCCCTGACATTCTGTTTCCACAGCAGACAGCCTAGAGTCAAGTGCTGATACTACTTGCTTAAGTCCCAGTACTTCACCCCTCAGGGCTGTCTCTACTCTGTTTGCTAACACTTCAAAATCAGCCCTTGTGGACAATTGCTGTAAGAATGAACATAATGTTTGCTCCGTAACTGAAGCTGCAACAGGGGCCTCTGTTGCAAATATGGGAGACAGTGAGGTACTCACAGTGCCCTGGGGAGACAATACTGAGTCCATCTGGGCAGATGTGGATGCAGAACTGAGGTAGATGTCATTAGGGTTGACACACACTGTTGGAGATCCACATAGAGCTGGACTGTGAATGCAGACCTCTCTGTTTGGAGTTAGCAATCCTGGCAGGCAGGAAGAAAGTGAATGGAGGCATCTGGTGATTGTCCTCTTTTTGTGCATCCCACTCTGCTGTATCAGTGGCTGCAGCCACAGCTGGACTCAGAGAGTGGTTCGGTGCCATCTTGACAGGGTCCAGTGTGGAAACCGCCAGCTGAAGTGGCTGCAAAAAGTACTCCATGTCTGCTGAAGCAGTAGATACTATTGGGGTACTAAGAGGTGCTCGCAATGTGGGGTATCAGCTATGGGTAAGGCTAAATAGGAGCTCAGCCGATACACATCCTCACTCAGACCACGCCCCATTAAAAATCAAAGCTTTAGTATCTCTTTAACTCCTTTAGAACATCAGCCAATTGTGTCCTTTTAGTGGGACTACAACAAAAGCAAAGTGTTGTTGGTTCCATAGGCAACAGTTTTTTTTAAATGTATGCTTACTGAAATGAAAAAAATGTCTGAGGAAAAAGATTTCTGAGTCAGTGTTCTGTTCTGCTGTAGTCTACTGTTGTGACCATGGCCTACACTGGAGTCCATCTGCCAACATCTTCAACCGACACATGTTCCTTGGCAATGTCTGCTGCTAAACTGTGTGAAAACATCAGCTGTTCTAGTCATGAATTTTTATTTTGCATTAATCACCTGTATACAAACATCAGCCGTTGTCAGTAGTGCAAAACCAATACAATCTATGAGCATCATATACCAAAACCTGCAATTCCACTTGTAGGAGTTCTTTGAAAAGACCTTGCTTTTTTCAACTTTTTCAACTAGCACCTCCATATCTCTGCAGTCAAGGAGGATCCATTTACACAGATCTCAATAAGAGATGAGCTTGGGTATCCTCCAAGGTCATCTCTAACTTTGAATACAAAACTCCAGCTTTTTTTGTACTCCAATGAGTTGTAGACCAGGTCATTCCTGGAATGACCCAGCTTACAACTATTTGGAGTAGAAACAAGACGGTGTTCAGTTTGAGTTAGAGATAAGTTTGGCGGGCACCCAAGATCATAGTATCAACCATACTCACGCTTATTAACCATAAGCTTTTATCCATCTTAGCTGTGTTTCTACTGTGACAAATAAATAAACTGTGGGATTAGGTTTACTAAAGGCAGTTAGACTGTTCACTTTGCAAGGGAATTTGCATATTTCAGTGGAAGTTTCTCCAGAGCTTAGTGAATGAGGTGAAGCTCTTCCATTGTCCAGTCATGTCCAAGCAAAATATCTTTTTTTATTTTCCTTTCACATGATTAGGTATTTTTGCAAAGTGAAATTTCACTACATTTATCAAGTTCTGGGGGCAATTTCCATTGAAAGTGCAACTTTTCTTGCACAGGGAACATGAACAATTTAGTTGCTTTTAGTGAATCAACCATTGGGTGTGTATTGATATTGATATGCATATTAACAGCAGTTCTATTCATAGTGAAATATGCAGTGTTTAGTGGCTGTTCAACAAAGCTCACTGGATGTCGCCTTAATATTTTTTAACTTTTCAATGGTTTTTATTGAATATTTTTACAAAGGGAAAAAAAAAAACATAAGTAAAACAAGCAATATCAATGAACAATGTTCCATCGTATGTACAGATAGAAACACCAAGACAACAAATTCTGTCACAACAATTGGCAGTTAAGACAAGACATAAATCGTGGCCAATTCGATGTCAAGTATATCTCGTCTTGCTAGCATAGAATATACAATGCAGAGCAATGCAAAAAGAGTAAAAAGAGCAAAGGAAAAAGTAGAAAGGAAAATCCAGATGAGGGTCATTAGGGCAGAGAGAGGTATTGGACCTACGGGTTCCATGTGTTATCGATTTTCTTAGAGTTATTGTGTAGGATACAGGTGAGTTTGTTGTTAATCATGATCCACTTAAGTTTCTTTTTAACATAATCAAGTGGAGTGACCGATTGCCTCCAGTGTCTAGCTATAGTAATTCTTGCAGCCAGAAACATATAGGAAATCAATTTATGGGATTTCTTGGGAACATTATCTGGAAATTTGTGAAAGAGAGCTGTCCATGGGGATCTCTAAATATTTATACCCATCACTGAGTTTACCAAATTGAACATCCGAATCCAAAATCTAGTTACAAGCGGGCATTGCCACCATATGTAAAAAATAGACTCAACCTGGCCACAACACTGGAAAAATCTGAAGAATATATTTAAAAAATCTATATTTTTAAAAATCGATATTTTTAAAATATATTCTTCAGATTTTTTTAACATATAAAAAGTCATTTTAACATATATTTTTACATATATTTGTAAATGCATTCCAAAAATGTAGATTTGTATTTTTAAAGACATACAGTATATTTGAAATGTATTTTGAAAAATATTTTTCATACATTTTGTAATAAACACGCATTTCAACATGCAGTATATATATATTGAATATGGCCAAAATTGCAGCATTTCAAATATATGGCAATATATTTGGGAAGAATATTTTTAAAATATATTTCAAATATATTTTTCTTCCATGTGGGTATGTAGGGTAAAGATTTAGTCGCCCACTGAAAATCGTAGGTAGTTCTAAGCTGCTGTTCATCGGATATGGGTAAAGAAACATTAAGGACAGTCGTTTT